TTAATGTCAACTTCAGGGCCTTTAAGGTCACCTTCCACTTTGGGCAGAGAAACATCCACATCACCCTTCACCTTGGGACCTTTCAGATGTAAATCAATGTCAGGCACAGAGATTTTAGGGGCTTTGACATTTATGTCAGGCATCTTGAATTTGGGACCTTTTAACTCTCCCTCTGGACCTTCCACATTGATTCCTGGGCCCTCAATGTTCATACTTGGACCCTCTATGTTCATGTCTCCTTTTGGTAGATCCACAGCAACATCTGGTCCTTCTGCTTTTAAGCCAGGCACACTGAACTTGGGCATTTTCATCTTGGGCATTTTCAGATTCCAGTCTGGACCATGAACATCCACATCAGGTGCATTGAGATGGACTTCTGGTGCCTTAATATCTACTTTCGGACCTTTCAGTTCACCTTCTAAATTGGGACCCGCAACATCTAAGTCTCCTTTGACTTTGGGACCTTTTAAATTTAGCTCCACATCAGGCATAGAAACTTTGGGAGAAGAAATACTCAGGAAAGGCATTTTAAACTTGGATCCTTTCACTTTTCCTTGGACCTCAACATCAGGTGCATTAATATCAACTTTTGGACCTGTTACATCAATATCTGGCTTTTTAACTTTGACATCGACCTCAGGTGTCTGAACCTTGGAGCCTGAAAAATTAAATTTGGGAAGCTTAAAACGAGATTTCTTTGACTTGCCTTCAACATTGAGCTTAGGACCAGAAATGTCTACTTCTGGGCCCTTTACATCCATATTAAGAGCTTTAATGTCACCTTCCAATTTAGGCCCAGAAATATCAACATCTCCCTTCAGCTTCGAGCCTTTCAAATTCAAGTCAATTTCTGGCATGGAGATCTTGGGCATGTTTACATGCATGTCAGGCATCTTCAGTTTTGGACCTTTTAATTTGGCATCTGGGCCATGAATGTCAATATCTGGAGCATCTACATCTACCTTCGGGCCCTTTATGTCAACAGTAGGCCCTTTCAAATCACCTTCTACATTAGGAAGTGAAACATCCACCTCTCCTTTCATTTTAGGGCCTTTAAGATTAAGGTCCAAATCTGGCATTGATATTTTAGGAGCCTTGATATTCATCTCAGGCATCTTGAACTTGGGGCCCTTCAGTTTTGCATCCGGACCTTCGATAGTCACATCTGGAACATCAATGTCCACCTTGGGCCCTGA